CTGGCGCAGGGAAACTGTTTTTATTCAGGGTTTTTATTGTAATTTTTAATATAATTAAAAAAAAAAATATTTTTATTACTTTCTAGTTTTATGGCACAAGTATTTCTTTCCATGCATGTTTTTTCTACAATGAAATTATATCTTCAAATTTATTATTTATATATAAAGGCAGATGTCGCTGAATGCTTAAGTTCTTCGAAATTGCCGAACTGGTAGGCCATCGCTTTAGCACCAACTAGTTAATGAACTGGTATTTGTACTCACTGGTTTGGCTTTTCACTGCAGGGTAATTATACATATCCGCCACATTTTGCCTAGTTTTGACCAGTTTTGACAATTTTTAAACGACTTCACAAAAAGGAGGAAGGTTATCAATTCGTCGGAATATTTTTATATTTTTTTTTTTTTGTTTTAAAGGAAAGGTATTATCTCACAGGTGGTCCCATTCTAATTTGGTTTAAATCCGATCATTGGATCATGATCTTAAATTTTTATATGAGAATTGAAGTCTGTTTTGTTTTTTGCTTAAAAATTACTTGTTATTTTGTTTATTTAAAATCATATAAATTTCGACAAAATGCAAAACTTTTTATTTAGAATTTCTATAAAAAATTTGAAATGCTCATTCAATTTTAGTTTAGTTGAGTTTCTAAGAAAATTGTTTGAAAATTTGTTTGCTGACGATGCTACGCATTTTCTTTTCGTAAATAAAACAGCGAACACATTACACCGTTCGACAAAAACCAAAAAATTTCAAATCACACGAAATAGTCAATATACTCACAAAACTATGGGCTAAATAAAGTAAAACCGCGCGATGTTATAAGTTTGGAATTCTGACGTAACTTTGTAAAGTTTTTATAATTTTTGTACAAACTTTGTATTTATATTTATACACATTTTTTTTAATTATGAGCTATACAAAAAAATTGATGAACAGTAAAAAAACAACAAAAAAAAGTCAAAGCTGGTCAAACTGTCGCGTGGCTATCGTTGTGTCGCAGGCTATACGTAAATGAATACATATGTATGTTCATAACGACATATGTATGTATGTACGTGTGGTCTAGCCCCACGCGTTCGTCATGGCGTCACAAATTCAAATTGAACTTTTAGCAGTGCTAGTGTTTGTTGTTATTTTTTTCTGCCATTTAGTAGTTGTCATACATTTAATAGCTGTTATTTATTGTTTTATTTACTACGACGTGTAAATATGTAATGTAAATATATTCCTTACTTTATATACATATTTCTTTAATTTATTGCAGCAAGTGTTTATTTTTAGCACTACTGCCGCTTTGTTGTTTTTTTTTCAAATTTTCTTTTTAATTTAATTTTTTTATTACAGTGTACTGTTTTTCTTTTTTCTCTATTATTTGACAGACAAAACTATCCATATTTTATTTTTATTTAAATTTTAATTTCAAGGTTGTGCGCGCGCTACCCATCTCATTTGCATGTGAAATGATATGAAATTAAATGAGTGCAGACAGACAGCTGTTACAAATGTCACTATGTGTTTGTGACAACTGAACGCGAAAGTCTAGATAAACATACATTCATATATACATATATGGGGTCACGTGTACCCATCTGCCATCTATTTTTATGCAAAATATTTATTCCGGACACATGCATTTATCTAACGTAAAACATACCAGCTGGAATTGCTGTAGGCAACGCCCTCATTTAATAATAGTAAGAAAACAGGCACTCGTGGTGTTAAACTATGTATAGTAAGATAAACTAATCCAACGCATTCAAGTCTCTATATAAAACACATTCTAATTCAACTACATAAGTGATCAATGCTAGCTAATAAAGATCAGATGGTCAGTTAAACTTTTGAGAAGCTATCCACAAAGGTATTCTATAACACAGGCCGACAAAAATGAAAAAAAAAAATGATGGTGCGACAAATGTTAAAGCTATTTTTGATAGACTTTTTTCTGCTGATTACGAATCCGTAAGTACAAAGGATCCAGCACGTACAGGTTTTGAGAAAATCGAGGTCAAAGTGTCAAAAAATCGGGCTATTTGAGAAGCTCTAGCAAAGAGTAAAAGGGTGATAGAACCTTCCACTTCAGCTTAGATTAAAGCAAGAGCCCTCGACTACTATCCTTGAAAATACCATTCCTTCGCATTGAATTTATGGTCACTTATAGTCATTTATTGAGCAGTAAAATTTGACTTTTGGCGAAGTTTGAGTCTCTGCCGCAATTAAAAAAAAGGTGATAGAACCTTCCACTTAAGCTTAAATTAAGGCTTGAACTTTCGACTACAATCCCTAAAAATACCATCTCTCCGTCTTGACCCTAAGATCACTTAAAGTCGTTTATTGAACAGCATTTTTTTATTGTTCAACAAATGACTATAAATCATCACCACCATCAAGTAAAGGTGCAGGGATGGTATTTTCAAGGGCAGTATCCTAGGGTTCTAGCTTTAAGTTAAGCCTAAGTGCTTCCACTTCTACCACATTTTTACTCTTTGCTCGAGCTTCTCAAATATTGAAAAAACTGACACTTTGACCACGATTTTCTCAAAATCTGTACGTGATGGAATCTTTATAATTACGGATTCGTAATCAGCTCAAAAAAATCTATCAAAAACAGATTTAACATTTGCCGCACCAAAATCAGTGTTGCCCTGTGTAATCATTTGCAGCAAATGATTTAGAATCACCAATAGGCATCGTGATCTCCAAAACGCGATGTTATTACGAAACCTGCCCACATAACAAGAGAATAGAAAGGCATAAAAGAGGCTGACTGTGAAGTGTGTTGGAAAGGGTAAAAATAGTTTTCCGTCATTCCTTATCAAATTTGGTTTGGAGACAACAAAATTAAGCTCACATAGAACGTACCGTTCAAAAGTGGCGCTCGGTTAAAACAAAATAACAAATGGGATATTAATCAAGAAATAAGTGAAGAGTAAAAACATTCCTGAGTTAATTTAAGAGTTCGGCAATTTAAAAAGAATGTAATCAGAACAAATCACTGATTGACGACGTATGTATGTATTTGTAATAAAACAACAAAAACGATGTCGTAAATAATTAGTTTGACACAATTATTATTTTGGTTTAACTAAATTTCACTTTAAAAACAGGTGGCAACCCTCTTCGTAAACTTTGCAAGCTCAAAACCTTCTTAAACCTCTTTCGTCTGACTCCCATATGGTGATACCTATCTATTTCAATAACCTCACTCCTTTAATTCCATGGAATTATTTTTAACAGGTGGCAACCCTCTACTTTTAGTTAAGAAATAAACCCTTTTCATACACATTTCGATTGATACCCATCTCTTAATAATTCATTTAACTTATTTAAAAATTTTAATTTAATTTTGTAACAGCTGACAACTCTTTAATAAAAAATAAACCTCTATTGTCTACAGGTCAAGCTTTTTAATCTGACTTTTCATTTTTAAATATAGAACGAGTTGTGCTGATCTGATGGCACTGGCAAAAAATGCATTAGCATAAAACGCATTACTTCAAAAAGTCCAAAAAGTTGGCAAATTTTTAATTTTTTCTTTCGAAAGCTAACAACCCGTGCTATTTAATAAAATAATAAAAGATAATAATTTTTTGAAATTTTGATTGAAAAACATTGTTTTTCTGGAATACCGCAGCGACACCCTGTGTTTAATCTTATTCCAAAATTGTTAATCCTGTAGCTCTCTACTATCTATATGGAAATAAAAAACGTCAAACCAACATTTTATCTCAAAGAATATATTTTTGACATTTATTTCCGGGAAGAGATTACGCATGGCTATGCTTTTATTAATATTCTTAGTATAAAATTTGTCGATTTTAGTGGCTTCCTGGCGGCATATAATTTATTTTATAGGGAGATTTGTATTTAATTATTTTTAGTGGATAAATTACCTTTACAAAAATACCAAATACACGTTCACATTGTAGCCAACGAATTTTTCGATTTTTGCCCACTTAGGCGGACTTTTTACTTGTACATAATAACAAAACAAAGAAACCGAAAAGGAAATCACTTCAACTTGCAAAACTTCACTTGAATTTTATGCAGTGACATACATACATACGTACATGTATCTACGCACTTAGCATGCAAACGCGTATTGGCCACGCGTTTTCAGTTTTATCGAAATTGAAATCACTGCCGTCGCTAAAGAAGTTTTCACTTCGAAAAAGTTTAGTTTCGACACACAAACCCTTTATGAACTTAAGGAAATTTACTTTTCTTCAAAACCGCTGTTTCCACTTTTACGATCTTACTACGCATTTTAATCATATTCTTCCATCGCCCAGGCTCTGTACAAAAAAAGCCACGTTTGTGTCGTTTTGCGTCTTGCTTCAAGCGCGTGTAGAATAACAAGTTTTTCGTTATATTTACATATATGTATATGTAAGTAAATACTAAATACGCGATAAAATAAAATTCATTCTGGAATATATTTTTGTAATTTCATGTATTTATTTGAGGCACGTACATAAATCTTGAATAGCGGAGACGCTCTCAAATAAGTTAAAAATGTTTTTACTGCGCCCCTTTTTTTCTCACAAATAATAATATTTACATTTATTTCAATGCGCGATCTTCCAACATTATCCCATTAAACTATGCATTAAGTACAAGCATTTCTCTGTAAATATCTTGTAATCAACAACTGTCTGGCATAACAATATCACTGACACAAACTTTTTATTATTTTTTTGTATTTATAATTTACACAGTTCAGCTCTTTGGACTTCCACACACCGCAATGGCGTCTAGATCCCTGCCAATTGGAAGACACAGCTCCCGATATGGAGGATCCGGTGCGTTTGTTTCATGGACGCGTGCGAATTGTTTGGGAACACGGCCAACACACGTTGCATTCCAAGTTGATGGTCACCGCTTTGGGCAAGGGCGACCAGTGTCGCAATGAGAATAAGCATCAGTGCTTAAGGATCGGGTAAGTTAATTAAAAATTTGTAAATTTGGGTTTTAACATAAAATACAAAAATTTTTCTCGCTTTCATTTCGCCATCCAACAATTGCAGCGACGAACCCATACTTTGCATTTCCAAAGAGCTTGTCTGCGACGGCATCCGCCACTGTCCGATAAGCAATGAATACGACAGCGATGAGGATTATGAAATGTGTTGGAAGCGACGCCGCTACGGCGAACCCATTCCTCCTGCCATGGAAACAGATATTTTTGAGCATTTTGCATTGGAAGTTTTTCGTAACTTGTTTGCCTTCGATGTGCCGGCATATGGCGAGAAGACGACAACCACAGCTATCACTGCAGAGACAGCTCAATCTGCGCAGGAGGGTAACGGCAGCAGTGGTGTGGTGAATAGCACCACCCTGCGTAAAGTGGACACGAAGCAGATGGGCCAAGCGGCGAATGATACCAATACAGGTGGCAATAGTACAGTGGCGGCCACAGCGCAAGCTGAAAATAGCACAGAAAGTACTGGCGGCCACCACCATCGACGCAATTCGACACGTTCGGGTCTCAATTCGGATTTGTCGAAATATGGCCCGTGGGGTTATTTGATGCTGGGCATGCTACTGTGTGGTGGCGCTTTGCTGATTTGTGGACTTTGGGGTAAGTTTGGTGGGCTTTGGGTGCTTTTGCTTGCAGAGCTTGAAGTTGTCGTTGCTTAATTCTGTTAAATAATCGTCTTTATTTTCCGTTTTTTTTTTCTCAAATCGCTCATCACATTCAATAACAATTGTAAACAACACGCTACATTCCACTTTATCTACACACGCACACTCCTACTAATATTTTAAAAAAATTGTTATTATTTTTATTATTTTTTTTTAATGATGTTCTTTTACATTCTCCTAATCGCTTAATATTCAATTTACAATCGTCATCCAACCTGATACCATCCACAATTCAATACAATCAATAAACGTTTGGTGACCTAATAATGTCCACATTTAAATAAAACGCGCATACGTTATATAATATAATACTGTCCAAATTTAAACACGTAACAAAACACGATCCACATTTCAATACGATCCACAAATTTAATGTGACAAACTCTCCTTACCTCAATGCGTTCCATAAACCATATTCGTTCCAATACTATGTCAATTGCAATACGATCCACAAATACCTTCCACATAAAAAATCCACAAATTTCATGCGATTGAGAAATATTATCACCTAAATACGATTTACAACTATAATTTTCCTTAATACAATCTACCAACCAATGCAACTCACAACCCAACCAATCTATTTAAATAAATGTTATCCACATTTCATTAACATCCACAATTGTAATTTAATTAAATTTCATTCTTTCTCCAATTCAAATACGTCATATTTTTTACTTTTTATTGAACGCATTCCACTAAAATCTACCGTTATACCGGTCTTCATTCATTTTAATCGAACGTCCAAAATTTAATCCATTAACCCGCCGCGCAAATTCCACGTCTCAACAAAAAACTAAATCTCTGCTCCTTCGCCTTCCTTCTTCCTTCCTTCCAGTTTGCTGTTGTCGCTTAAGCTTTCACATTCAAACCATCCGTTCACTTTCAGCCTCTGCCTCCCAACACGCAACCAACAATGAACGCGAAGCAGCAATGCAGACTGGCGGCGCAGGCGCTGGCAGTGATCTTCAATCGAGCAACACCGCACCACCCAATTACGAGGAACTCGATCCACCACCTGCCTACTCAGTACTATTCCCCAACCAAAAGGCAGCTTCCAGCACAACATTAAGTTCACTCGGCGCCGCAGCGTTAATGCCACCCACAATGGCCGCCGTAGCCGTAACAACACCAAATGGTACTGCAGTGACAACGCCTCCGGGTGTGGTGGCAGCAACTTCAGCTCAAACTAGTACTATAGCAGCGGCAGCCGCAGCCGCAGCCGCAGCCGCAGCTTCTTCGACAACAGTCGTAGCAACAACAACAACTCGCGTGCAGCTGGAGAGCGCAGCGTGCAGTTCACAGAGTCACTGATACTTAGCGATTAAATAAAAAGCATGTCGCCGTACCTGGAAAGTGACCGCGTCCAATAACTAAATATACTATAAGTATACTTTTATGAAGCGTAGAGAAGAAGTTTTTCTGATTATTTTCAATTGGAAAAAACGACTGACTTTTTAGCTCGATTTAAGTAAAATAACTGTAGTTTTAGGCTATACAAAAAAAAAAAACACAAGTTCATCTGTTAAAATAGATTTCTTTTAAAGTCTTATGTGCATATTTTATGAGCAAAAGCAACTATTACTTTAATGTTTTGAGGTTATATTAACTAAATTTCTCTAATTGTAACTTTAAAATATAGGTGTGTGCGTGAATGTTGTTTCTACCATGACAAGCACAAATAGTAACTGGTTTGTGATGGAAAGCATGTCCTCGTGAAATGTTGATGAAATATTCACAATGAAATATTCAAATCTA